TGATGGTCGGGGGTCACCACAACACGAGGAACTGTATTAAGGGGTCGCGGCGTTAGGAAGGTTGAGAACCGCTGTGATAAAGGCTCCTCACCAACATGTCACAGATGCTTAGAGAGGTGACAGGACGCATCCAAGGCCACAGCAGAATAGCTGCACTCTTTGCTGCCCCCTCACCTGCCTCCCTTCTGGCCTCCCTCCCCGACAACACAGACCCAGGACCCAAGCCCCGCCCACCACGTCACCTCCATCCCTCCTCCAGGTTCTCCGCTTTGGCCCTTCAGGGAGGAAGGAAAACCATGGGATATTTGCTAAGCACCTACCGGGCACTTGATAGAATCCTACTTCCGCCCCAAAAAGCTGGAGGGCGTGTGACCACTTCACAGCGCAGGGAGGTCAGGTGGCTCATCTCTCTCTCACTCAGGCTCTCTTGCCCACGCACGCACGCACCAATGCAGGGGACCCCTCTTGGCCACAGACCAACAGCTTCTGACCTCAGCTCTGTCCTCGTTCCCGGGAAACCACCAGGAACCTCAGAATGAGCCAGTCTTCTGCAGCAGGCAGGGACACTCAGCACCTAAGACCCAGCTCTTCCCAGAGCTGCCTATGTCCCTGGGCCCATCCTGGGACTGGCAGCTCCTCAGCAGGCAGGAGGTGGGGCAGCAAAGGCTCAAGGTAAGGGTCTGTGAGCAGAGAGGGTTGGCCCCGCAGATCAGCAGCTGTGCCAAGTGCTAGAAGGTTGCGTGGGAGCTGACGAAGAAGGGGGCGGGGTTGCTGTGAGGCAGCTCAGGGCTGGCAGGAGCCTCAGAGACCCCAGATGATTTCCCTCCCATTTCACGTGGAGAAAGTCAGGGGCAAAGGGGGAAACGTTCACGCATTTATTCATTCGCTTATTCATTCAAGAAACGTACCGAGCACCTGCTGTTCTAGGTGTTGGGCAGACCGCACTGTACATGGCCACGTCCCTGCCCTGAGAAGCTGAGCTCTAGTGGGTGAGACGCAGACACCCGCGGTAGAAGAGTGTGAGGTGGCAGCAGGAGCCCAGGAAACAGGGAAAGCAGGGAATGACAGGGAGCACGTGCGCGTATGGGTTCCATGCACAGCCAGGAGGCCGGGGCGGCTGGGCCAGAGTGGGCGAGGGGGAGGGTGCTGGGGAACACGCAGCAGCAGCACCTCCTAGAAGCTTGCTCCGAGCCAGCCATCGTGCAGTTGTTTACCTACATCACTGTGTCTCTGAGTCCTCATCCCAGCACCGGGAGGTCCGTAATATTATTGTTCCCCAGGCACAGGCGAGAATACTGAGCCTCAAAGAGGCCTCCTCCCCTCTGGCCCAGTTGCTTCCCTGGCATCAAGTTGACGCCTGTGTCTCCCCCACCCCAGGAATATTCTATTTCAACCTCTCAGGCCTACCCCAAAGGTCCTCCCTCCCACCTCAGGCACTCCTTCTACCGTGGATGGTAACTGGCTTCTCTGTGCCTCAGTTTCCTCATCTGCAAAACCACGATGTGGGCCTGGTTGATGCTCTAAGCCCTTTCCAGCTCTGGCGTCTTAAAGATGTGTGTCAAAAACCTCAGCCCCCCCCGAGACCTCAGANCTCATTGTGCTGAAATGGGTGACCTACTTGTCCTCCCATCCTGCGTGGGTGCGTGCATACACACACACACACACACACACACACACACACACACACACCGCGTCTGCAAAGCACAAGGCAGAAACGATGACCTCTTCCTCTCTAGACCCTCGGCTTCCAACACGCGGCCCATGGCAGAGTTGGTCAGCTTGGTAGGTAAGTATTTGTTGATGACGGTCATGACAATTACCATTTCTCGAGCACTGACAGGGTGCCAGGTGTTGTTCTAAGTGCTCCAGGTGCTCTAGTCAGTGGGTACCGTTGCACCCACTCAGATCCCTTGCACCAGCCGGGCACCCCACCCCCACCCCACCTAGTTGCCATGAGCAGTGCCTGATAATGACCCCCAGCCTCCTGGAAGGACGGACGCTGGTATTTCGTGCTCCAAACACACCCTTGCCTCCCCCTGTCCTCCCATCAAGCTGCCCACCGCCTGGGGGTTGTGACCATCAGAGCAGGGCAGCTGGGCCCTTGGCTGGCCCCTGCATTGACAACAAGCAAACGGGGGCACCCAGCTGCCTCTCCCACTCGGCCTGGCAGGCAGCCCCAGACCCACCCTGGTGTCACAACCCCCAAGGGCTGAGTTTCCTGCTGCGGAGCAATCTGAGGTTCTTCTTGCCCCCACGTTCTTGCCCAAGCTGCCTCCTCCACCTACAACAGCTTTGCACTTCCTCTAACAAAATTCTGTTTGTCCCTTCTGACAGCAGCCTCCCTCTGAGGGCTTCCCTGCTCAGACCCCACTCTGAATAATTAATAGTACCCCAAATCCTGACCTTCCTCCCTCAGGGCACCTGGCACACGGGGCTGTGCTCCCCCTAGATGGGTGCCCTCTGAGGCTGAGGTGACACTATTGCCCCCGAGCCTGGCACGTCGTAGCTGCTCAGGGGGCGTTAATCAAAGCAGCAGACTTCATTACAATGTCCTTTCCTGGAGGGGGACCAAACCTGGGAGCACCTACCATGCTGGTGGGCCCCTGGAGTCCTTTCTCCACCCCCACTCCCACCCCAGGCCCAGGGCCAAACCCCAGGAAGTCAGCTCTAGTGAGGGTGGGAGACATGCTGGTGGCTGGCACCATTCTGCATAACACAGAGCCGAAGAAATAACTCCTACTCCAGTCTGGACCATAAGCTCGCATGCCCAGGGCTGCGCGCGCGCGCGCACACACACACACACACACACACACACACACACACACACACACACACTCCTTCCCTCCCCATTTGGTCCTGGGGAAGGCTGCCAGGCACCTGGATGAAAGGGGACGTGAGGCACCTTATCAGGCNCTTTAACCAATTCCAGTGACTTTCTGGCTCCAGAGTCACATGGGTTCATCTTCCTGTGGCACCACCTGATTTTCCAGTAGCTTAGGGCTTAATCTGATCCATCTTTGGATCCCTATGCCCAGCTCACAGTAGATGCCACAGGAGTGCTGGAGGAAGGTGGGCAAATGGGCAGCTGGCACCGGCCGCCACTGACACTGCTCCCAGGCTGGACTGATGAGTTGATGCCCGTAAAGGAGAGACCCAAGGAGACCCCCAAGGCCTGCTGGCCCTGGCCCCATACCTGGTTTGGCCACACCGAAGCCGGGGGGGCACTTGCGCTGAAGCACACACTCCCGGCACCCCTCCGGCTTTGGCAGCATGCAGTACCAGTCTGGCAGGCAGTCGCATATGCGGTCCTTTTTCCCAGTGCAGGCTTGAGTTTCCGTCTGGCCTAGGGGAGCAAGATGGCAGCCCAGGGTCATTCCTGCTTCCATCATCCCTGCCCACCACCATGCCACTCTGCCCTCCCAGCCAGCCCTACAGGGAGCTCTGATCTCCAGCAGGCTGGTGGGCCCCACCCCTCCTCAGCATGGGGCAAAAAGAACACTGGCCATGGAGTCGTAAGGCCTCAGTCTTATTCTGGCTGCATCACAGCATAAGCCACCAAGCCTGCTCTCCCTCAACTCGAAAATGGGCACAGTTTTCCCACCGCTGCTCTTGGCCTGCCTCCCCTATGGGACGATTAAAGAGGATTCCATGAGACAGAGGATGAAAATGCCACTGATAAACAGTAAAGAACTGTACCCATGCAACCTCATGCCCTGGGGTATGGAAACAATAGGTCTGGGGTAATCCCAGCCAGCTTTCAGCCAAAGGGACCGGAGTGCATGGTGGCCCGGGGATGATGCTGGGGACCACCCCTCTCTTTAGGCCTACTCACCAGTCTTGCAGCGGGACCCACAGCTGAAGCATGCGGGGACCCTGTTCCAGACCTTGGTGTATGTGCTTTTCTCGCAGGGGGCACACACCGTATCTGAGGTCTTGGTGCAGAAGACTTTTACACGGTAGCCTGAGAAAGCAAGGGTCAGAGGTCTCAGTGGGGTGGGGCTTCTGCTCAGACCCTGGGCTCATCCACTGTTCCCCAGAGCCCCCGAGTTCTGTAGCCTAGCTGGGAAGGCTCTTTGATAGGGTTCCAACTCCTCCATCGACTCATCTCACATCTAGCATGTACCAGCTGTCACTCTATCTCTGAGCCCCCAATGCTCTTTCCAGACACCTGGAATTCCACCATTGGAACAGCCTGTTATAAGTCAATCACACTTTAGTGAGAACTGGTTTGCCAGCTCCTTTCTTTATATTTAACTAAAATTCTCCTCCTGGTAGTATCAACTAGATGGGGGGGAAAGGCAGTAGGAATGTAGAATAGTTCCTATCAAGGCCTGAGGAAAAGGCACGGCAGGGAGTAGGAGAGCACCAAGGCAAACCTTTAAAGAGTGTTTCTGAGCCCTGAGCCCAACGCTGCCATTTTCACTGCTGTGCTAATCTAGTAACTTCTTACAAAGACCCTACCAGTTAACGAAGAAAAAAGAGTCAGTTCCCCTGGAGTCTCTTAAAATGGCGGTGGGAGGTGACAGGTCCATAAGTGCCTGCCCTTATCTCAAGCTAATGGCCCAGAGCCCTCCAATGGCTTCCTGGATCCTGCAGAAAAAAAATCTAAACTCCTGACCACAGCCCCTGCTTACTTACTCAGTCTGGGCCATACTCTGGCCTTGCTATTCCTCAAGTTCACCACACAGTCTCCCACCTCAGGGCCTTGGCGCTCGCGGTGGCTCCAGCTTCGTATGCTGTCTCCTCCTCTCTACTTGCGTGACTCACTCCCTCACCTGCATGTCTCTGCCCAAGTGTCACCTCCTCAGAGAGGCCGTCCCTGACCACCCTGTATACAACAACAGGTCCTACTCCATCTGTCTCCATCTGCCTTCCCCTGCCTCGTATTCTTCACAGCACTTACTCTCTGGTAG